GGGCTGGGGCGTGGGCCGGGGCCGGGGGTGCGCGGCGGCGAGCGCGGGCAGGGCCCGAGGTGCCGGGCGCGCTGTGCACGGCCGAGCAGCCCCTGGTGCGCTGTCCTGCGTCGGTCCGCGCGTCTGTCCGTACTCCAGGACCACATTCACGAGGTTTCTGGAGCCTCCTGTAAAGTTCCTCAATTATGAAGTTCAATGTTTCAACTTTATTTTCTTTTCCAATTGCACCGTTGGCTTGCCCTATGAATTCCAGGAGGGGTTTTGCTTTAAGATCATGCCATCAGAGAAAACACGGGCTGGTTTGGGGGATTGGCCAACTTCACTTAGCGTTATGTTCTCCAGTCAAATGCGAACAGTTTCTCTGCTATGAGGAGGCTGAATCATCATGGGGTTGGGGAGACCATGGCAGGCTTAGATGAGCTCTAGACAGGCAAAGGGGAGGGAGAGAAGGGAGGGGTATAGGGGTGGGAAAGACCGTGGAATGAGCTGGACATCATGATCCTAAATACGGTGAAGCCAGAATTAGGCAGTCAGTATAGACAGGTATTGATAGCTGGTATCCTGGTATCCCCAGAAGAGGATCCAGGAGGCTAATTTTGAGTGAGCCCCAGAAGTTGGAGAATGAAATGTTAATTCCTAGAGCCCTTCCTCCACTAAGAATCTGCCCCTGCTCCAATCTGTTGCAAATGCCATAATTTCACTCTTCTTTAAAGCTGAGTAATATTCCATTGAGTATATATACCACATTTTCTTTATCTATTCATCTATTGAGGGACACCTAGGTTGGTTCCATAGTCTAGCTATTGTGAATTGAGCTGCTATAAACATTGATGTGGCTGCATCACTATAGTATGCTGATTTTAAGTCCTCTGTGTATAAACCAAGGAGTGGAATAGCTGGGTCAGATGGCAGTTCCATTCCCAGTTTTCTGAGGAACCTCCACACTGCTTTCCATGGTGGTCGCACCAATTTGCAGTCCCACCAGCCATGTATAAGTGTGCCTTTTTCACTATATCTTTGCCAACATGTATTGTTGCCTATATTCTTGATGATTGCCATTCTGACAGGAGTGAGATGAAATCTTAGAGTAGTTTTGATTTGCATTTCTCTAATTGCTAGAGATGTTGAACACTTTTTCATATATTTGTTGATCACTTGTATTTCTCTGAATTCATCCTTAATGTTCTATGGCTGCCACAGTCTGGCTGGGCACAAATTACAAGCCACTGAAGCAGGAACAAACTTTATTTTTGAACTCCACCAGCACACTCCTCCCCAATGCCACGGGCTCCTCCAGGAACCAGCCACTGGAAATATCTCCTCCGGAAATCCCTCCTCCTGCACTTCCCCAACCAATGGGAAGTCTCAGGGAATCCCCAGGAATCCCCATCAGAAATGCAAAGTAGGCAGAGGCCAATACTAATGCCTCCCCTGTCAACCAATACTGTTGGCAAAATGCCCGGGGCCATACCAACTGGGTTGTGCCTCTCAGCATATAGCTCCTCCATTTCTCTTCTGCTTGAGCTATTTGAGGGAGCCTCAGCTCCTGGTCTTGCAGGCTGAAATGCCAAACCCACTCAGAGTCTGTTGTCAGTCAGCTCTTGGTGGTAATCCTTTGATCCAATAAACTTTTTAATTTTGTTGAAATCCAATTTGTCTTTTTTGTTGTTGTTGTTGTTGTTGTAACTTGTGCTTTGGTGCCATATTTATGATGCTGTTGCCTAATCCTTGATCCACAAAATTTATACTTAATTTCCTTATCAGAGTTTTATAGTTGTATCTCTTACATTTAAATCTTTGATCCACTTTGAGTTTTGTGGGTGGTGTGTGTAGGAGACCAAATTCATTCTTTTTGCGTGTAGGCATCCAGTCACCATCATCATATCTTCCACCTGAGTGGTCTTGCTGCCCTGTCCAAAGGCAGTCAACAGTGTACACGGGGGTTATTTCTAGATTTTTTTGTTCCCTTGTCCACCTGTGTGTCATTACACTCATATCACACTGTTTTGATCATTAGCTTTCTCGTAAGTTTCAAAATGGAAGAAATGTCTTACTTTGTTCATTTTCAAGATGGTTTTCACTATTTGGTGTTCCTTGCAATTCCTTATAAATTTAATGATAGGTTGTGCATTCTACAAATAAAAGGAGCTAAGATTTTGATAGGGATGGCAGCAAATCTTTAAGTCGCTTTGGGGACTATTGCTGTTCTAACAATATTAAATATTCCAGTCCCTAAACACTGTCTTTCTACTTACTTGGCTCTCTTTAATTATTTTTATCAGGGTTTTGTAGCTTTCATTGTATAATTCTTGCACTTTCTTGGTTAAACAGTTGTTTTCATGATATCATTTTCGGTCATTCATTGGTTTATATAGAAATATAAGTGATTTTTTCATATTGACCTTGTATCCGATAATTTTGCTGAACCAACGTGATAGCTTAGAAAGCTTTTTGGGGGAGTGTATTCTTTGGTGTTTTCTAGATATAAAATGATTATATCTGTGAAATGAGACCGTCTTATTTGTTCCTTCTGATATGGATGGCTTTTTTTTCTTTTTCCTCTGAATTTCTTGGCTAGAGCTGCCATTACAGTGTTGAACAGAATTAGTGAGATGGATCTGGGTGTGGAGCACAGTCTGTAATCCCAGGGAGGTTGAAGCAGGAGGATCACAAGCTTAAAGCCAGTCTCAGCAATTTAGCAAGACTCTCAGAAACTCAGGGAGACCCTGACTCAAAATAAAATATTAAAAAGGACTGGGGATGTGGTTCAGTGGTAAAGTATCCCTGGCTTGATCCCCAATACCAGATTTTTTTTAAGAAGTGGTTAAAATGGACATCCAGGGGAGAACCCTTCTAGTTTCTGTGAAGTATAATGTTAGCTGTAGTTTTCTCTGTTGATGCCCTTCATCCGGCTGGTTTGTTGAGTGTGTATGTGTGTGTATTTACTTCTTATGAAAGGGTGTTGGATTTTGCAAAATGCTCGATCTGTTGAGATGATCAGTGGGTTTTTTCCCCTTCATTGTTAATAAGGTACATTACATTGATTTTGTAATGCTGAATTTCTTCACATTCCTGGGATAATCCCCACTTGGCCATAGTGTATAAAAACATACACTTAAGGTACTGCTGCATTCAGTTGCTAGTGTTTGGCTAATAACATTCAGTGGTAGAGCACTTCCCAGCCTATGGGAGGCCCTGGATTTCTCTCTTGGCACCACAAAGGAAAAATAAAATCGGATTCCCAAGGGATATTTCTAGATGGTTGTCATTTTTGTGGTATTTTTCATCTGGCTGGAGTATGAGGGGAATATCGACCTCATAAAATTACTTAGGAGGAGTTTACCCTTTTTAGGCCACTATACAGAGGAAAGCCAGCCACAGCCCCTGGTGGACGAGGTGGTTCTGCCCGGGCAGAACTGGTACTTGTACCACCGATGGAGTATTATCTTCCACACCACTGAGAACTGGGAGCCCAGGGTGGACCAGGATGAGGGAAATGCCACACAGTTGCTGTTCTTATGAAGATGCAGATAGCATTTCTGGATTAAACATTGACTGGTTGCTGGCAACTTTGGTTAACTTCCAGTTTGAAAAAAAAAAAGGCAATTCTGACTGTTTTTGGCAGAATTGTTCATTTGGCTTTTGTGGAGGGACAGTTTTGGAGTTCTGTACTCCACCACTGTTCGGAGGTAAGGAGGGAGGGAGGGAAGGGAAGGGAAGGAAGGGGGACCCAGGCAGGGTAGATCTCCATCAGCCTTGCCCCTATGTTGAACGTCTGAAGAGTGAATGCTCACGTCCTCTTCAAAGAACTCTTGAGTCCCGTGTGCGACTGTGTTTCTCGCCACAGGTCCCCGAGGGTAAGCCCAGCATGGGTTCCCGGGATGGAGGTGAGCCTCCAAGGAAGCCCTGCCCCTGGAGAGCCTGCAGCTTGCCCTCCACAGGGAAGCTTGGGCTCCCGTCCTCTTTCAGACCCTTCAACAGCTGTGATGGACGCCAGCCTGGGGTCAGCCAGCAGACGAGGGCAGGACTGCCCGAGGACTTCTGAGCATCTGTGTACGACGTCAGAGAAGGGGCGGGATCCCGTGTGCTGAAGCCCTTTCAGATGTTCATGAACAGAGTCTAAAATCTGTCTATGTCTCTGGAGGATTTAACCCAAAAGAAGAGCAGGGAGGTGACTGCAGGAGGAATGCCTGATGGCCCAGGCTGAGAAGGAGCGAGTCCAGAGGCAAATGTAGGAGCACAAGTGTCCCTTGACTTTACTGACCCAGGGTCCCTCCTGGTAATATTAATTCCCCGTATGACCCCACAAGGAAGCAGGGATGGGAAGGGCAGAAGTCAGCCAGTCTCAGTTCGGTGATACATAAAGAACATTTAAAGGTTTCTTCCTGTTCTTGCCTGGAGAAATCCTTCCCTTGGTTGAAACTGAGGCGTGTGCATCACGGTTCAGCCATCCTGCCCTGAGCGTCTGACTGCTGGCTGTGCGGTCCCCATGGTCCCTCAGGTCTAACTGCAGATGTAGCAGTCAGTGTTCCTGGTCATCCTGCCCTGAGAATCTGATGTGCCGCCTCAACATGACCTGAACGTCCTCTTGTAAGGATCCCGGCGAATCCTTGGAGAAAGAGACCACAAGAGACCAGCTTCATGCAATGGGCAGGAGGGAGTTTATTGAAGAGGATCCTAATTCAGCATCCTGAGGTTCAAGGCCCACTCAGGAAGGGAGAGGGGCCCAGAGCCCAGAGCAGAGGTTCAAGCAGAGCTTAAATACACTTTTTGAGGAGGGCGGGAGGCTTTGCATACATCAGAACAAATCATCATGAGGCCCGGGAAAATTGAACAACAACTCTGAGACGTGATTAGCACATTCATTGGCGGGAACCGGCCGGGCAGGGGTGATTGGTCATTCCTAAGGGGGGGGTACACATTCAAACTGATTGGTTCGGGCCCTGTGACAAACTGCACAGGGCCCTAGGCTAAATGGCCAGTAGGGCGTTGTCTTAACTATCTCAGGAATCTGGGTGTAACAGAGGAACTTAATAATATCTAATCTTTTACATTTTAATTCAAACTTTCCAGCTTAGAAACTTTACCCTTTCACTCTGTGCTGTTGCTGTGCACACCCGGTGAGGTGGCCTTTGTCAGCTGTGTCACCTCTCATGTGACATGGATGTCCTTTGTGTTTTTTCATACATGACTCTGGAGATTGAAAGCCTGGCTTTGTATCAGGTGAGTTCTGCCCAGGTGTGCGGGGTCCGGCTGCAGCAGAATAACCAGGGGGTGACGAATAACTTCTGTAGATTGATACAGCAGGAATGTATCTGTTGTAGGACAACAGAGGTATTTATACATTTTGCACAGCTTATCTTAATTAGCATAAACTAGATACATCAGTCAACCAATAAGGAATCTCCACACTTAATGGCTCGCTTTTGTTACTTCTCAAACCACTCCCTCTGGCATTTTGCCAGGCACCATCCAGACTTGTTTATGAACTCTAACATTCCCCTGGCAAAATACCAGGTGTTATTTTGACTTGTTTACAGACCTTAACACAGGTGCACTTGAGTTCTGGGATCTTGCCTGTTTAAGGGTCACAAAAGCTCCCCGCTTTGGGGTGTCTTGAGTTTTGTCTTATCGACATTATTTTGGGCCTGCATTTCTTCTGAGAAATGTGACATAGCCTGTCCACTTAAACCAGGTAGGGCAGCTGATAAATAGCTTTTTAAAAGTGAAAGCATGTGGGGGTCAGCACAGTGGGCCCAGTTCATAGAAGCAGCGCCTTGACCTTGTGTCCCCACAACTTGTGTGTTGTCTGTCCCTGTGAGGCCCACCTCTTGGATCACTCTTCACAACTGTAGGTGGATACAGAAGGACTCTTGTGCTGACACCCTTGCATTGCTCCGACACGGGCCAAGCTGGTTTCTTAGACTTAATGCAAAAAGCAAGGGACAGCTCATCCCTCATCCGTGACTGCCAAGAGGTGCTCAATGAATTATCCTGGGGAATTTCACCACCCCTGCAGCTATCTTTCCTGAATCTAGGAATGCCTTTGCAGTACTAGAGAGCAATGTGCTGTCTGCTAAACCCCTTCTGGGTATGAGCTATCTCTTCTAGGCCTGTGTGAGCTGTTCTGTGAGCACCAGGCTGACGGCAAGATTCAGGGGTTCAGATTCCTGACCAGGCCTAGTGGTTTCTTTTCTCCCTTGTGGGTCAAGCTTTAAGAGAGGGTTTTAGGGTCTCAA